ATAATTTAAATATTTTAAGATGAAAGTGTTAACTAACAGGAGTACACGTTTAAAACCATTATGCTAAAACAATTTATCAATCTCACAATATTTATTTTTTTATTTATAATTTTATCTTAAATTAATTATCTATTTTTTATTAAAAAAAAGGCCAGCAATTCCATATAGGAGTATTTTTAATACTATAATTTCTTCTTCTTCTTCTTCTTCTTTTGCATCTCCTCGCCTCAATAACTCACTAGTAATATTTCTCAAATAGGAGGATGTAACTTACAACTTATGTCAACAATAAGAGTAGAATAATTGAGGAAAGTATTAATTATAACAATAATTGTCCTGTTTAATTTGTGTGCCTAAACAAACAGACTGGCACGGGAGTAATGGTAGTTTGGAAGTATTGACTTTGACAAGAATAAATAAAGAATCGTCACTAAAGGCCACTTGAAATTTCAATTCATTCAAGGTAGGTATGATATCATCAAACTAGTCTGTGGGTATAGGACTAGTGGAGGTGGATGATGATTTTCCTCCAGATGAAGGAATTGACCTTATCAAGGCATAAAGATTAGCATCTAGAAGCAATGAAATAATAAACAAAATAAAGAGATTAAGAATAGTTTTGTAGTGCAATGACCATAATCAATGATGGAGAAAGGATCATTTTACTCATTATTGATTTTAAGTTATACAGTTATATAAAATAGATTATACCATATATTTTTTTTGTAAAATTTAAAATTTAAAGATATTTAATTTTGTTGTACTTGGTGACTCAATGACTTTATATTTGATTGTAAAGTGCATTCTTCTAACTTTAGGATTGGGATTCGAATCTTCTGCCTCTATTATAAACTATTAAAAAAAATCTTTAATTTTATTGAATTGACTCTCAAGACTTAATAATTCACCTTCAAATCTTAAAACGCTTAAAGTTTAAGATCTTTAACTTTATTGAACTAAGTTTTTGGATCCAATGATTCACCTCAAATCTTAAAACACTTAGGTTTGTTAGTCGGTTTTTGACCCCTATCAACACCCCAAATTATAGATGATTCAAAAAAAGAGAAAAACTTTAACTTTGTTAATGAAAAAATAATATCAACTCTAATAATTGATTTTGGTGTAAAAGAATTATGTACAAGATCATCAAACCATGCTCAGCATGACAATTATGAGATCAAGGTTGGCAAAGGCAATCTTAAATCCTAAAAAATGAATACCAAATGACTCAAGTTGATACGAGATTCACAAATTGCATAATGTGAGATTTGTGACTTCTGTATTCTACTATGGGTTGCTTATAAATAAATAAATAAAGGGATTGAGAAAAATTAAAATGTTTTGATAATTAAAATATTAAAATTGTTGATAATAAAAATTTAAAATACTCTTAATGAATTAATACACAAAAAAATTTATTAAAAAAAATTATATAATTTTATAAAAAAAACTTTTCACATTTAAAATATCAAAACATATTAATTTTTATTTTTTCATAAATAAATAACTATTCCTTATTCATAATTCAAGTACACATATGACTCATTTTTTTATTTGTTTTCTCCTTTTGTTTTTCTTTTTTTTTTTTTCAAAAGAAAATTTAAATTAAAAAGATTTATCCTAGAAATAATGAAGACCCAAGCGCAGCCATCATTTCTATTCATTCACACAGGTTCTCATGGACAATTACTCTCACTATTAATTCCTTGAGGCATATTAGAAATGGATTAGCAACATTGGAATTCTTTTTTCTTTTCTTTTTTTTTTTTTTAGTTTTTTTGGATGAACCGCAACATTAGAAAGTTCAAGAAACCATATCCGGTGTTTATATCTTATTATTCCTAAATGTATCAAAACAAGGAATTTTTTTTATTCCTAAGGGGGCAATTATTTTTGTTTTTACCATTTTTATCTTATCATTTTTTAACTCTTGCTTTTATTTTTTTAAATTAAGGACTCCAAAGATAATTTATATATAAAAAAAATTTTTTATTTTTCTCTGTGTAGTATTCTCCTTTTTAAAAGTGTGAGCTCTTTTTATTTTAAGCTCTACTTTATTTATAAATCCTATTTTATAATTTGAAATAGTCTAGATTGTAAACAATCCTCTTTTTGCATATATGCTTATAATATTCTTAAAATAACAATTAATTTAAAGCAAATTCAAAGAAAAAAAAACCATTTATCTCGGAAAAGAGGAAGTAGTTTCATATTTTTCATATATGTAACTAGACATAGATTTGATTTCCTAACTGGTAACTATATAGGTACAATTATGTATTCAAGAGAAATGGGAATCTAAAAACTTTCATCCCAGAGGCGATTGCCTGGCCAGATTCTGCCGATGCAATTGCGGATGGTTACATCAGGCAGCCATGTAAACTATGAGCTGGTAATGCTTTACAAGAAGGAAAAAAGAATAAATTACAAATGCTTTCTACAAACTCTCCTTATAAGATTAGCCACCAACTCAATCAAAGGCAATGACTTTGCTGCAAGGGGGATGAGACGGTGAATAATTGATGTTCCAAAACATTGGGTTGCAACGATGCAATTGCAAAACCAGTGGATTGTGGAACTCCGATAGATGGATGCTGAATTGAGCTGGAAAGGAAATTTTTGGAATGAAAAGCAAATGCAATATGTTATGCTCCATTGATGAAGTTAAAACACAACATGGGAGAAAACTTTAGACTATACAAAAGGCAATTTGGGTTCTAAAGATAGATTCCCGTTGTTGACTACTGATCATTAGACCCTCTTGTCTGTCCTCTACTCTCACAGAGAGACCAGTTTTACCGTGGGATGGCAGAAATGTAGAACTTACCCGAATGATAGTGACAAGGAAGATTCAACAGGCCTGTGAATCCTATTTTGATCAGGAGAAAGTAATGACCAGAAAACTGAAAGGCAAAAAACCACAATCTGTTAGAGGAAGAGGCAATTTCAGTCTAGGATTCCGAGATGGATAAATGAAGCTCGTAACTTTTGCCTAGAACAAAGCATGTTTACCAACTTGAAGTTCACGAAACATGGTACGTTACTGGCTGTATGAAGAATTACCTGTTTGTTCAGGATGATCTTGCAGGCTAGGACAAAACAGTAAATCCTGCATTACAATTTTCACAATATTTCATTAGATGGTGAACGCTTACATTTCAAGTCAAGGATACAATTGGCCATTCTTTTCCTTTTAAAATCTAGCACTGCTAACTCACCTCTCCCATACCTTGAGATACATTACTGACCTCCCCTGTAGGAGATAATTTCACATCAGATCCTTTTTACAGCCATAATTTTAAAAAAGATTTAGAAGCAATTGAAAGGCTTTTTGACCAATTATGTTCTCTAGGGAGCTTAAAAGCATAAGCTATGGAATGAAATTTTAAGGCCAGGGAGAGCCCCACAAACTTTAATAATATCCACTTTCAATTGGATAACAACAGATATTATTTCTCTTTTAATTCCCTTCCATCTCTCCATGTATGACTAAAAGAGAAATCTCCACCTGAGAAGCCTAGTTAGGCGAAAGGACAAATGTTAGGAAGATACCATAAGTGCCACCAGATACTCAAAAAAGCTTTGAGTCTAAATATCACACACTCATAAGATGCCCATTTAGGCATGTATGTCACACAACCAATAAAGTGAGTGAACACTGGTAATTGGATTTTTAATGATTATTTCACCTGCTGTATTAGCATCAAAATCCAAACCAAATATAAAACCACAATACCATAGCATAACCATTGGAATTACATGAGTACTTACCCAAGTTTGAAACACTAGGCTTCACAGCCAGCGTCAGGCCAAGAAAACAATCATCAGGTTCAGTGCTGAAGTCCCACAGATTCAACTCCAGATTTGGCTCCTCTCCTGCAAAATATTAGAAGAGCAGATTAATACATTGAAACAAGAAACACGAATATCAAGTATATCATATAAACGTGGTACTCAAACTTGGAACACTTACCCATGTTATTTAGCCTCAGCTCAAGTGGATCATGGAGTGGATAAGGAACCAACGAGGCCACCTATCCAACAAATTTTGGTAAATTGACCTAATATAAACTAAAGAGAAAGCTGAGAATAAATTGAAAAGATATATTACATTAAAAAATGGATGCTGTAATGCCTGATCAGCAGTTGGCCTCCTTAATGGGTCCCATGAACAAAATCGCTATAAAGAGTCCAAACAGTTTTGTCAGGAATTATATTCAGCTAAAAGCCAGTCAACAACAATTGATAATATAAATTAAAAAGGTTAGCACGTAACTGAAATACCCACCATGATTAAATCAATAGCTGTAGAACTGGCATTGGGAATGATATCAGATAGGTTGGCAGGCAAGATCTAAGGAAAAATAATCACAACAAAAACATAAGAACAAGCTCAAAGTGAATAGTAGAAAACCAAATAAACTGCCAGAACAAAGGGCTTACTTCTGAACAAGTGATATTGACTAAGTGAGAGATATTTGTTGCTTCAGGGAAAGAACTCCCATCTGGTGCTCCCAGAATGCAGCATATTTTATGCAGTTGATCTATTTCACTGCCAACAAGATTAAGTGGTGCCATGAGATTTAAAGTTGATAGATCTGCTAGATATTTGGTCTTGTCTTGCAAAAGGTGCGTAGGTGTTAGTATCAAACAATAGCATGCATTTTTTAAGGATCAATAGGTCCGTGTTACAGCCAGTGTCAAGCTTTGCATTAATACCAACTTTATCACAGTAACCATTAAGTAAGCCTAACATGACTAAAACTTATTTCATTGTTCCATTTGTTTGCATAAAATATGAATCATTCAGTCAAATTATTTCAGATTATTTCACGAATACCTCCCAAAAGATATTTGGAGTGGAATACAATGATATATTCAAGTCTATGTGCATGACACACAGTTAGCAGCCAAGATTAGAAAAGATATCTGCAGGTAAAATGGAGAAGAGGAACTTGGAAAGGTAAATATCACCTTTCACCAGGAAAAATAGGAGTTGAAGTGAAAAGTTCAGCTAATATTGCACCAACAGCCCACATATCTGTAAATGATGTCAAGAACCAAAGACTCAGAAATCAATCCAAGGAAAATTAAAGTGGAATAAGTAAACCTCAGACTAACATATAAGATTGAAAGAGATAATGATCCTAAACAAATCAACTTTTCATGGTAAATTTGTACAGTGATCAAGGATGCCTATAAGAGTGGATATATGCAAGCTTCCATGCACATTCGTTGGTGCAAATTTTAAGATATTATAACCCAATTATGGGTTTACACCCAATGGTTGCCTTGATTAAGAAACGAAGGATATCAGTGTTTACAAATTGTCTTAAGTTTTTTCTTTGGCCTGCCAAGTTTCATCTTTTTTATTTTGGCCACCAACATGAAGAACAAGTTTCATAGTGATTGAATATCCTATCAGAATTGCATGCAACAATTCTGTGCAACTGAAAATACTCTGTGGGCAACTAAAACTTACCTAGATGAACATAAAAACTTAGCACATCAAAAGGGTAAAAAAAGGTAACAAAAGAAGCAACATGAAACTACCAAAGAATTGATGGCATCATATAGATAAGGTGCCATTTCCGAATAATTTGGGCCACTTTCCTTAGGATGTAGTAGAAAGATATAGACCGTCCCAAATGTCATTATGACTGGCATCTTTTTCAATTCAAGAGTTAAAACAGGAACAAATTGCATTGGGACTCTCATCCCAGTTGGTGCATGTCACCTTCACCCAGGTCAGAGACCTGAGTTTGAATCCCCCTTCACCCACAATTGTAATAGTTCCAAAAAGAAAAAAAAAAAAGGGACAACTTCAAATAATAAAAGATGAGAAATTCTTGCTATAAATGACGGAAAGATAAGGTGTACCAATTGCAGGAGTATAAGAAGAAGACCGCAACAAGACTTCTGGTGCACGGTACCTGGCATGCCATCAACTCAAACAATAAGAAGCAAAAAAGTAATAGTCTGAAAATATAGAATTCAGCAATCAGAGAGATTACATGCACATGATGCGTGTGTAGACCAAAAAGAAAAAGAATAAAAAAAATACATTGTATGTCAACAAGTGAATGCTCACCAACGTGTAGAAACATATTCAGTATAAGGAGGCATTGATGATACTTCTCTAGCCAGCCCAAAGTCAGCAATTTTAAGAACGTCATTTGTCACCAGCAAGTTCTCTGAAAATGTTGATGTTTGATTATAACCTAGTTAGAAAATGATTCCCAAAGACCTCCGTGTAGATGCAAATATAAATTTTGAATCACACGAGGCATGAAATAAAAAAGAACAGTTCAGCTTTTACCAGGTTTCAAATCCCGGTGAAAATATCCATTTCTATGCATGTGAGCAAGTCCCTGCAGCATCTGAGACATAAAGCTCCGAATCTCTTCCTCAGAAAAGGGTCCTTGACGTTCTCTCATTATTTGATAAAGATTATGTTCCTGGAAGGAGATTAAGATCAAATGTTACCAAACAAATTAACAGGGAATTTATATAACAAAGACATTGCAATTAGAATTTTATTGGTACTGCATGTCTGCACGCAAAGCTTCTCTGATAATATTTTTTATACATCTATTTCTACAGCTATCCATATATGATTCTGGAGAAATAAGACCTGAAATTTCCAAATGTCAGTTAAGATTTTCTAAAATGTCAAATTGAATGATTTTCCTATTAGTTTTAGCCACACGTTTTAACTCGATTACAAAAATACATGATAGAGCCAGGTTTTAAATCCTCAAATTATAAACTTTTAATATTTTTCTTCTAAACACAAAAACAAAACCCTTCTCTGTCACAAAAAATGTCCTTATTTTTACTGACAGGCATTTTGCAAGGGCACAAACACCATCATTATGCCTCCCCCACAAGCGATGCTCAATAAGTTCACCTAAAATATCTGGTAAACAACCACCAAAATTAAGCTGTACTTTTATCCTAACAGAACTAGCATATCCTGTTCAAAAATAATAAAGGAAAATTTAACAGCATTTCCAACTCCTTTAATCCCTTTAGCGCTCACCCATATAAAATTCTATAAAAATGAATTCTATTCCATGATGTGAGAAAAATGGAATATCAATAAAAGACATACCAGCACTATTGCTGGTCTCTTCTACCAAATATATATATATATATATATATTGAGTGACAGAGCTTTGATTTGACTAAATGAAGTAGACAGTGCATCATAATATTCAGGATACTATTTACAAATCATATAGAAATTCATGAAAAATTTTGAACATATGCAACTAACTTAAAAATAAGAAGTTAAAGCATCATGCTTTGAAGCTTTCATAACATAATGTGAAGTTTCTTTCAGAGAAACAAAAATAACTTACCATGTATTCAAAAATGAAGAACAGCTCGCTCTTTTCCCGGACAACCTCCTTTAACTTTATGATATTGGGATGATTCAATTTATGAAGGACCTGCAGAAGATATGTTACCATGAAGATACCACATATATGGATGTCTGAATGAAAATTTGACAATTTGATGTAGTCTCCTATTCAAGGAATTTTAGGGGTTATGGAACATACCTTAACTTCTCGTAGGTTCATGCACTCCTCCCAAAAATAGAACTTCCTTTTCATTTTCTTTACAGCAACCTAGGACATAATGCAAAATTGCAAATAACACGAAGTGTTCTCAATTACAAATAACATACATAAAGTAGGTTATTAGCTAAATTCAAAGGTCAAAAGCTAAAGATGAAAGCAATTCCATACAATGTCATGTGTTTCTCTATTGAAGGCCCTGTAAACACTACCACAAGTACCATCTCCAAGCTCTTCCAAAATTGTATATCTGAGGGAAAAAGAAATAAGGAAAAAAGGCAATAAGCTTTAGAAACCAAAGCTTGAAGAGAATTGATAAGATTCTAACCTTTCCATTATTATAGCTGTAGCAAATGACAGCCAACAATATGTCACTATGCTTCTAACAACCTCCAAATAGAGGTGTCTACTGTATCAATGCAGCGAAGGTTACAAGCTTGCATATACAGTTTAGTGCAAGACTGTAGCATGAAATATATGAAGTTGAGAGAAATCCACTTCTCATCGAAAGAATGACTGAAAATCAACCATAAAATTATCCACATTCTCATACGCAGCTTCTACAAGCTGCACTCAGCTCGTGTCATGTAAAACCGACAAGTCAACAAGACCTTCATTAGAACTCCAGTAGAATGCCAAAATTAGAGCATTAATCCTTTTTCTTTACATTCCAAGCGATGCCCATGGGAGAAAAGTTGGGACCAAGCTGCAAAAATAGTTAAAAATCAACAAAACTCATATATGCCCAACCCCCTGAAAGGAGAAATATGAAATTGAGACATTTTCAATACAAATAACTTTATTATCAATCAGGCCATGCCACGTTGAAACCTAACTTACAGATTTTGGTTATGCCAGAATTAGTACATAGTCTGTAACTTTAGACAGATCTATCACACAGATCCAACATTCAGCACAAATAAAGGGGGCACTTTTTTTTGAACAAATGTTATTAAGCCAATCTAAACAGTGATAATACTTAGAGGTCCAAAGATGGAAGGAAAGTCAAGAGTTGGGACCCATGAATCAACTTTTATTCAATCATCCATTTTCACCCCCATCCCCTGCTCTTACCCATTAACCAAACAAAACATTCATAATCAACATGAGTTCCAGAGATTTCCAGAAAGCAAAACTTCTACAAATAGCATAGCAGAAAATATGATCCATATTTTCTAGATTTGAGCTCATTGATCCATCAATTTTTTTAACAGCTGGTCCACAAAAAATTAGCATAACCAATTATATATGGTCAGGACATAAAAAAGGCCACCACATGGCCCTCTCAGTCCTGAACTTTGTAGACATCAGGCAGATAAACAGAAACCATAAAAACACAATTAAAAAGAACTGTGCTTGACCCTTCAAAAACAATAAAAAGGAAAGAAAATTTTAAGCTCAATGATAACCTCTTCCAACTGGAGAGAGAAGAAGAAAAACAGTAAAAAGAAGGAATTTTGATTATGTTTAAGCAAAGAAATATAGATTAATCCTCAGCAAGAAAAGGCACAAAAATTTTTGAAAATTTTGAAACTTTGAAATCTTCAATCACACATTACCAAACCAACGCCACCTCTCACACCTTATGCAGCTGAAATAAATCAGCCTCCTTTTCACACACCACTATTCAACCAAAAGACAAAAAAAAAAAAAAAGAAATAAAGAGAGAGAATGAAAATTTCCATTGAATTTCTCACCGTTTTCTCGGCAACCAAACAAAGAAAGAAACTAAAAGTTGAACTGCATTATAATTTGCAGATAATCCACAGCTCAAAGAACCCGAATTTCAAACCAAGAAATCGAAATTCACCAAATCAAATACAAAAAAAAAGAAAAAAGTGTAAGAACTCATGGATTGATTGACGAATTACACTCACCATTGATGCGTGCTCGATAGAATCAATGAGAAAAAAAAATGATCTAAGGAGGAAGAAACAGAATTAGATCGCCAAATGTGTAAGCGTTTTCGTTGGGAACAAGAAAAAGGAAAGAGCTTTGAGGGAGGGAGGATTTAGAGAGAGAAACTATGGATTGCTGGGAAAGGCACGAGAGAGAATTCCGGAGAAGAAGGCGAAGAAGAAGAAACCAAATGAAGGAAATAAAATAATGATAAAATAAATTTTGAAAAAAGGGGATTTGTTTATTGTTTTTGATTTTTTTTTTAAAATTAGAGAAAAAGCAGGAAAATGCTTTGGGGGTGGGTGGTCCCGCGCCTTGATTTAATATGATTATTTTTAAAAAGACGGGATTGTCCCTTAACTACTTTGTATATTACGGGATTGGTATTTTTGTTGACGAGATTACCCTTGCGATGAGGGGTTGGATAGGCACTGACGTGGCCCGCGCGTGCACAATAACTTTGGGATTTAGTAATAGATATTTTTTTTTATACAAACCTCAATTCAAAAATTTTAATTAATTCAAAATCAAATAATTCGATAAGATTCAAATTTTAATTTTTAAGTTAAATTTTTAATTTGATCTTTAAATTATTATATAGATATTTAATTTGGTCCTTAAATTAAAAAAAACTTTAATTTGGTTCTTTAATTATTGTACGGATTCTCAATTTGGTCCTTACTGTTTATTAATTTGCCCTAAATTGGTCCCTTTATGCAAAAACAGCTTACGTGTTTTGTTATTACGTGAAATGTGATTATTAAATTATTATTTTTTGCCATTAAATTACTATTTTTTACTGTTAAATACTAAACACGTCAGCTTTTTTTTTTTTGTACAAAAAGACTTATTTGGGGTAAATTGATAAACAGTAAGTACTAAATTGGGGATCCGTATAATAATTCATGGATCAAATCAAGAATTTTTTTAGTTTAGGAACCAAATTAAAGATTTATACGATAGTTGAAGGACCAAAGTGAAGATTTAACCTAAATTTTATTAAAGAGAAAATAAAATGTTTTCACTTAACAAGTCGTGAATTAGTATTAATTATTTAAAATATAAGATAGTGGTGGTTTTTCGTGTAAACTACACAAAAATATGAAAAATATGATTTTTTTTTTTTTACATACACGATAAAAAAGTCATGTTTTTAAAATTTTTTTATTTATCTCAGTATTTAAATTTAAAATTTTTAATATAAAATTTTAATTATTTAACTACTAAGATAAATAAGATAATAACAAGATTTTAACAAAATTTATAATAAAATTATTTAAGGATGTGTGTTTTTTTTTTTAAAACATGGGAGAATTTGGGAGATTATGAAATTTTTTTAAAAATTGTTAGTAGAAGTCAAATTTTAATCTACTACACTCAAATATTTAAAGTTTGAAAACAAATCATTGAATCTGCAAATCCAATTCTATTTAAGGATGTGTTTGATTTATCCATTTTCAAGAAAAAAATATCTAGGGAAGCTAAGCAAAATTTTTTGGCTTCGCTTTAAAATCTTAGTACATGATTCAGAAAAAGATTAAATGGATTACAATTACTAGATTATAACAGCCGAAAAAAAAAGGGATAAGTTTTTGAAGAAAATATTTCGTAGGTATTTTGGTTGGAAACAAAATCGTACAAAATTAATCGTATAATCGGTTATAATGAAATATAACTTATTATTCCCCTCTTGCATCTTATTTTAGGATTTAAAGCCAAGCGCAAAATTCTTGCTTGGCTTCATTGGATATATATTTTTTTGAAAAACTAATAAACTAAGTGACTAGCAAATGGCCAGTTTCAGCAAATGGTATTAGACTTTGGCTTAGGACTGTTCAGTTTTATGGGTTGGGTGTTTGAGTCTCATAAAATTTATTTATTTTTATATACTTATAAATAATATTAAAATTGTTTAGAAAAAAAAACTAAGTAATTAGCAAAATAGAGATAATTTTTATATAATTTTTTATATAAATTTCACATATTTTTTAAATATAACTTAATATTATAAATCTTAAATAAATAAAAAAATTAATAATTTAAATAATATATAAAATTATTAAAAAATTTTAAATATTGGCAAATATACTTTTAAATCTTTTTTAAAAATTTATTTAAAAATTATTTTAAAAGTTAATTTTAAATTTTTTCCAAAAAAATTATAAATTGGTGAGAGAAAAAATTTATTTTTTAAGTTTTGGTAAACACCCTATTAGCTTGAAATTATCATAAATAGTTTTGAAATCATTGATAGTTGTTATTACAAAAATTTTTTGTTTTAAGTGAGTCTCTATAATAAAAGTATAGTTTAAACAGTTTAAACGTGGAACTATGAATTTAATAAAATGTTTTTAATAA